TCACACTAGTGGACTCTAATTATCACACCAACCTCCCTCCCTCCCTCTGCTCGCCACCCGTCTCTCCCTCTTTCTCCTTCCCTCGGCCAGTTTGACGCCAACAAGCTTCGCTTGCTGCGTCCATGTTTCAAGGAGAACGGCACCGTCACAGCTGGCAACGCCTCAGCCATCAGGTATGGCAGCTGGCAACACCGATTGAGTTGGATTCTGTCCTTCAAAAAAAAAAAAAAAAAAACGTAATTATGATAGTAACTGTACTTCCAACTCCTTCCTTTCTCATCTATCTTCTCCCTCAGAACTGTTTCACCCCTCTTTCCACTCCAGTTCCGCTCCTCTTCATTCCTCTTCCAGTCTTTTTGAAACAAATACCATTCATAAGTAGTGTTGCAGCCTCTATAAATGAAACAACACAACTCACTGAAATGCGTGCATAATATTGTACACACCACGTGAAAGTAATCTAGTTTTGAGACGTCTCAAAACTATATTGTACACACCACCAAGGCACACATCCCCATTCCCTATCCTCCTTTCCCCATCTCCTCCCATCAGCTCCCCTACCTCCCCTCGTCTTTCCCATCTTTCCACCAGTGACGGGTCAGCAGCAGTGGTGTTGGCAAGCCGGCAGGCAGCCAGGCAGCACGGGCTGAACGTGCTGGCAGTGCTGCGGGGCTTCGGGGACGCGGAGCAAGCACCCAGCCAACCCCCACTCGATATTCACCCTTCCCGGTTCTCCCTACCCATTATCCTTTCCCCATCCCTCAATCTTTCCTCCGACCTCCCTCAACCTTCCCCTCTTCTTCCCCATGTCTCTAACATCTGCATCCCATCTCTGCACTATCCTCACATCCAGTGACGGGGCAGCAGCAGTGGTGTTGGCAAGCCGTCAAGCTGCCAAGCAGCACGGGCTGAACGTGCTGGCAGTGCTGCGGGGCTTCGGGGACGCGGAGCAAGCACCCAGCCGCTTCACCACAGCGCCCGCCCTCGCAGTGCCCGTGGCGCTCAAGCATGCGGGGGTGGAGCAGAGCGACGTGGAATACTGGGAGATCAACGAAGCATTCTCGGTGAGCTTTGCAAGTGGTCCCTCAGCATTCTCAGGGTGCACGCTGCTGTTATTTGTATGATTTAGCTCCAACAGTCGCCCCCTCGCAGTGCCCATGGCTCTCGAGGCATGCGGGTGTGGAGCAGAGCGACGTGGATTACTGGGAGATCAATGAAGCCTTCTCGGTGAGCTTTGAGAGTGATCCCTCAGTATTCTCACCGCACACTGCTGTGGATCATATAATTATCCCCAAGGGTCGCCCTCGCAATACCAGTGGCTCTCGAGGCATGCGGGCGTGGAGCAGAGCGACGTGGATTACTGGGAGATCAATGAAGCCTTCTCGGTGAGTTGCGAATCACTTGTGTTGCGTAGCTCCAACAGTCCCCCCCTCGCAGTGCCCGTGGCGCTCAAGCATGCGGGGGTGGAACAAAGCGACGTGGATTACTGGGAGATCAACGAAGCATTCTCGGTGAGCGGGACTGGCGTATGCCTGGTGCCTATCAACAATCAATCGAAATATGCACTCGGCAGCTCAAACCAGCATTGGGGGCCAGTGGCTGCGAGTGGCTGCTGTGAATTCCTCCTCACCGCACTCCACCGAACGTCACCCTTCTCGCCCTCCTTATCCACTCCACACCCCCGCCTGCCACTCCAGGTGGTGGCTCTGGCGAATCAGAAGCTTCTCGATATTCCCGAGGGGCGCCTGAACGTGCATGGAGGGGCAGTGGCGCTGCGGCATCCCCTAAGCTGCGCACTAAAGACCTCCACACCACACTTCACCCTTCCCACCCACCCCCCACCCCCGCCCCTCCAGGTGGTGGCTCTGGCGAATCAGAAGCTGCTGGATATTCCCGAGGGGCGCTTGAACGTGCATGGGGGGGCGGTGGCGCTGGGGCATCCCCTGGGGAGCAGTGGGGCTCGCATTGTGGTCTCGCTGCTGGGCGTGCTCAGGAAGCACGAGGGGCGGCTGGGAGTGGCTGCTGTGTGCAACGGTGGTGGCGGCGCTTCCGCCCTGGTTGTCCAAGCTGAGTGAGTACCAGTTTATGAGAATACTTGACTGCTGACTTATGTTTGGCTGCCTGGAAGTGGCTGCTGTGTGCAATGGTGGTGGTGGTGCATCCGCTGTGGTCGTCCAAGCTGAGTGAGTGGTGGTTTGTGAAAATACTCATAAGTGATTTGTGTTTAGCTGAGTCATGTTGCCGACTTATGTTATGCTGCTTATGTGAAGTCGCCTGGGAGTGGCTGCCGTGGAAGGGTGGTGGGCGCCTCCGCCCTGGTCGTCCAAGCTGAGTGAGTATGGTTGGTGGGACTTTTCGGAGTTGCTGCTGTGTGCAAAGGTTTTTACAGGCACCTCAAATGCCCCGGAGTGGCTGCTGTGTGCATTGGAGGGGGTGGTGCTTCTGCCTTGGTTGTACAAGCAGAGTGAGTATGGGTTTCTGAGGGTACTTGAAATCTGGCTCTTGTTTGGCTGAGTGAATAGCCGAGTGACTGCTGACTCAATCTAGCTGCCTGGGAGTCGCTGCCGTGTGCCATGGGGAGGAAGGTGCTTTGTCTCTTTCCTTCTTTCCCTGCTTGGTTGTCCAACAGAGAGTGTGGTTCATTGTAAGCCAGGTGGTTTAGGGTTGTATAGTTGAATTGCAAATTTGCCGCTTTCCCTCGTTCCCCGCTTTCCGGTTGCGGTTGTGTCATGCTCATGGAGGTTCCTCTTGCTCCTACCGTATGTGCATGCTTCCCTTGTGCTTATTGCATTGGCATGGCAGGTCTCTGGACTCATCCACATGCCATGCTCACTTGTAGCATGATTTCTTCCCAGATTGATGGTATTTTTACGCGCATGCTTGCTCTTAACTGTTGGATGGATACATGCTGTACAGGAAAGGAAACGTGTGTTACGGTACTATTAGTCACCCAATTTACCCTGACTTGGGTTTAAGTTTATGAAATTGTTTTGTCTTTTTCTGTACCTACGCTGATTCATCCTCCTTCCGCAACTGCTCATGCTGATCTTTCAGCTGTATACAGAGTTTCCAGCCTCCTTCAGTGGAGTAACGTAATGTGAGGCTGTCCAATCAGACTTAAGGCGTATCCCCGGCTGGTGGCAAGTTACTGTTGGTGGCAAGCGGGAAATCCGCTTGCCACCAAGTGGAGCCGCGCGTGAGCGCGGCTCCAGGTTGGTGTCAATGTTGCCAACATTGGGCGATCTACCGGCGATGGATTGTCAAACCAAGCACATGCAGTGCGACCATCTGCACGATCGAATGTTGACCAGCAACTCCTCGCAACCGGCATCTCACACGTTCGGAAAGAACATCGTCCGTCACCCCGTCGCCTGCACCAGCACCAAGTGCACGTAACTTGCACACCTTCACCATTTCGACACCTCGGAAACAACCACGATGGAACACTCCTACCTACTCAAGGCCCATGGCCAGACTCAAGTTAGCTATATTTACCTTGAGCATAACACCTAGATAACCGAAACACCTTGCCGATCCTAGCACATCATTCTGTCAGGAACATGGACCCAAAAGTCGCGGCTGCGCTTCTTGCTGTCATGCAGCTGTGGTGTGCCTATTACACACTGGTGTGGTTGCCCATGGTAGCTAAAGCCAGCGGAGAGTGGCTAATCCTGAGAGAACGCCTTCATACCAGGGTTAGGCACGTCGACGAGGAAGTTGCGCGTCTAGCAAATGAGCGATGTTCAGTCCGCCGCCGGCGCCGTCACACGCGCGTCATCCGCAGGAGGACCTCCGCGTCATGAGCGGCATCGAGTTTCAAGACGTTTTTCGCATAACCCGCGACATCCTTCCGTACATCACTAACGCCATGCAAGTTCCCTTGTCCTACTTTGTGGAATGTCATGACATCCCTATTCAGCTATGTGTCCTTATTCCTATCAAATACTTCGCTTCAGGTTTATCTTATGTTGACATGTCTGTCATATTCGGCATCCCTAAATCGCTTCTCCATCGACTGCTCGATGCATTCTTGTTGCACTTCCCGTGCCGCCTAAAACAAGAGTGGGTCAGGTTTCCAGAGCTGTGAAAGGAGTCCCTAACGTCATCGGGGGCATAGATGGCACCCATATTCCGGTCCGCGGGATGGAGGGGCACAGACAGGAATATTATAACCAAAAATCGCATTACTCTGTCCAGCTACAGGTTACATGTGATGCGCGGGGCATGATATGGGACTACAACGTGGGGAACCCTGGCTCTAACCATGACCAATGCGTTTTCACGCAGTCGGCTCTGTCCCGAAGACTAGAAAGTGGTGAAATCGCGCCTTAACAACTGGTCGGTGACGCCGCCTACCCTTTGCGGGAGTACTGTCTTACACCGCTGCATGCACCACAGAAGCGGTTAATGAAAAGATGGGAGCAGAGCTTCAACAAAGTGCAGTTGGCCGTCCTCGTCGTGCGCGATGTACTGGGATGTAGATCGAGGGCTGTCGGCAGCCTCGTTCGCGATGCGGGGGTTGGAAGCTCCTTGAGCTTGCCGCGATTTCATCCAGGCTACGTAAGGAGGATCAACCCAGGGCTTCTGGTCGTCTACTTTCTACTTGCCTTTCTGGCTACGACTTTTACGAGGCGGCATGCTGGTGTGCTTGTTGGATGCTGAGCTGAAATGGTCGTAATCTGCTGAGGTATGCAGATCAACCCATGTCTGTGATGTTTATGACTTGGTGAAGTTGGATCTGTTGCGCATGGCTGTTGGGAAATTGGTGGTGTTTCAATTTTCCGCCGGGAATTGTGACGGTTTCACGTCACCACATGACTAGCGGGCGCGCGGGCAATTTGTGTGTGCGATCTGCAATTTCGATGGTGTTTGGGTGACAGGCGATTTGTCAGTTGTCGCAATGCGGGTGTTGCGACGTGTCCGTTCAACTTCCCCAACCATCCCCTCTTGACACCAGGAGGTTTATTCCTCCATGTGTTTTCCGAGTTGGTGGCATGCCACTAACCAATCTTGCCACCAGCCGGGGATACGCCCTTTAAGGGCGCCACTATAGAATTAAGCCAGGAGAAAACATCAGTGGTGGCACACACAACATGGCAGCGTTGTGAGCGGTTGACACCAAGTACTTGCTTGTGATTTTCACTTGCTTTGAACCCCATTATAAAAAGCCAAATACCGTATGCACGCACGACACATTTATGCAAACAACAGGCTTGGCCATGTCATGACATGGATGGATGGCAGGAGCACCAGTTATTAACAAATAATTGCACGGGGCAGGGAGCAATTCCCTTTATTGGTAATACTGTACCAGGGTCCCACCTGGGCATAGCTCCAGAGGGTAGTCAGACCCGTCGGCTGTAGGAAGGAAGGCATCAGAGTTCCTCTTGAGTGCCTGAGTCCTGACTCCATCCTTGTGCCTTATTTGGAAAGAGGTTGCACCGCCAGCACCGACCGCACCACATGGCCAAACTGGTCCTTCCATGTCAGGCTTCCGAATTGGAAATCAGGAGACGCCTTTGCTACTGTGAACCTGATAGTGAATGTTACAACCCCATTTGGAGGGATTGCAAATTTATTCGGGCTTATAACTGTTGTAACACCAGGCGGTGTAACCACTGTCGAAGTGTAGCTGGATACTGTCTTCGCGACGTTCTGCACTGTTCGTGACACCAGCACGGTTTTTTTCAGCCGCGAGACCGAAATCGCCGGGCGGTTCAGATTGTACGCCAGAATCGGCGACAGCTTCGTTCCGATTGGCACGGAGCTTTTGGCGCTCACCAAGTTCTGCCCGGCAAGAAAGTTGTAATAATCCGCAGCGTTGGCGGGAAAAGTTAGCCCAGGATCCATCAGACCGTTGGGATTGACAAGGCCCGCTCCCATATCCCATGGCGTCGCCTTGTTTCCAGTCAAACCTGCCACGATCGACCCATTTTTAGTATTAGTAACTTTCGCTGTAGTCATAATCGCGGACATGACTTGCGACGGCGACCAAGCAGGGTATCTTTCGACGAGCAGCGCCGCGATTCCCGCCAAGTGCGGAGTAGCCATGGAGGTTCCGCTAAGCATGACGTAAGCGGGGGTAGAAGCTGACGCGAGAGACGAGGACGGCGCAGCGGCCCATAGGGAAACGCCGGGACCGATTATATCGGGCTTTAAGATGTCGTTGGTGGGGAAAGAGAGGCTGGCTGCAGTAGCGGGGTTGACGAGCGGACCAGTAGAGGAGAAATACGCGATATCCGGGGCTTGATCGCTGGTGACGTCTGTCTTAAAGGTGTAGGCGAAGGATGCAGTCGGGCTGGCGGCGGGAGGGAGAGGGAGGACAGGGGGAAGAGGGGGAATGGGTAGATGGAGGGAGGAAGCTGGTGAGTCAAAGGAGAATACGCGATCTCCGGGGCTTAATCGCTGGTTACGTCTGTCTTGAAGGTGTAGGCGAAGGATCATGCAGTCGGGCTGGCAGAGGGGGGAGCGACGGGGAGAGGGGGGAAGAGCAAGAAGGAGAAGACAGGGAGTTGGTAAGGGACGGGAAGAAACTCATGAGTCAAAACCCGACTTTTCTTCTCAGCTCTTCAGGCGGTCGGTTTTTGGTGATTGAGGGCTTGATTGGTCGGACTGGGGTTATGCTGTGTGTGTGCTGTGGGTGTGGCAGACGTGTGAGGGGACAAGACTTGCTATATGCAGAGAGTGAGTTCAGTAACCCCTCACTTGACAATGGTGCAGGTGTACATGCGCAAAACACCCGTCTCGCTAACTTCTGCTCCCATGACAGGCAGCCGAGAGTCATAGATGGCATATGGTCTCGCTGCTGCTGGCACTCCACCACAATACCAACCATATTTCCTACTTGCACTCAGCGGCTGGACAGAGAGTGTAGTAACCCCTCACCTGGCAGCGGTGCGGGTGTACGCACGCAAAACATCGGTCTTGCTAGCCTCTGCTCCCATGACCGGCAATCGAGCCATGTAAATCGGGTACGCTCTCGCTGCTGCAACCACATCCACCACAATCATAGCGCTGCCGCCCTTGCTAGCGACCTCTATTGCCTTGCTGCTGGCGCTGGTCCATCCATACGAGCACAGCACGATCTTGCCGGCGATCTTGGTGGCATCCAATGAGTCGTCCGCACAGTATTGGCCCTGGTGGGAGGGGGAGCAAGCGGGAGGGAATGGGGATGGATGAGGGAGGGTTGCTGCCCGTGCTGGTCCATCCATACGAGCACAGCACGATCTTTCCGGCAATCTTGGGGGCGTTCAGTGAGTCTTCGGCACAGTACTGGCCCTGCAGGGTGGGGGAGGAAGGGGGAGGGAATGGGGATGGATGAGGGTAGGTTGCCGCCGGTGCTGTCTTTCCAGCGATCTTGGTGGCGTTCAGTGAGTCGTTGGAACAGAACTGGCCCTGGAGGGTGGGGGGGGGAACGGGGAGAGGAAGGAGCAACTTTTGAGGCGCCTCAACAGGCCAACAGTCTTCGGCACAGTACTGGCCCTGCAGGGTGGGGGAGCAAGGTAGGGGGTTTGGGAATGGATGAGTTACGTTCCTTGCCTGACTGGCAGCCACCCAGCCTGTTGCTTCCCCACACTCACATCGGTCTCAGTCTTCCCTGCTGCCCGCGCTGCAACCCCATCCACCAGCCCCAGTTTCTGCACTCCCGCGTTCCCCAAGACAAACTATATTGGTGTGACTTAGGCGTTCCCCAGAATTCTCAAAAGTCACACCAATATCGCTGCAACCCCATCCACCAGCCCAAGTTTCTGCACTCCCGCGTTCCCCAAGACAAACCCTTATAGCCTCACAAGTCACGACCCTTGTCTGAATGCTAGCCAGCTTGTTGCTTCCCTGCACTCACCTCAATTGCAGTCTTCCCGGCTGCCCGCACTGCAACCCCCTCCACCGGCCCCAGTCCCTGCACCGACATGACACGTTCCCCGAGCCAAACCCATACAGCTTCACAAGCCACGCCTCGCGAGTCACGATCCCGCCTGACAGCCAGCCAGCCACACATTGACGTTGATGCTCATCTGCTCTTTCCCATTCTCACCTCGATCGCAGCCTTCCCGGCTGCCCGCGCGGCAGCACCCTCCACCAACCCCAGTCCCTGCACCGGCGCGTTCCCCGAGCCAAACCCGTACAGCTTCACAACCCGCCCGTCGCCCAGAGTGGCTGCTGACACATAGCTGCGAGCGATGGTGCTGCAGGCAGGGAGAGGGGGAGGGGAAAAGGGGGAGGAGAGGTTGAGACCGGAAGGCACAAATCCGTACAGCTTCACGACTCGCCCAGCGTGGCTGCCGACACATAGCTGCGAGCGATGGTGCTGCAGGCAGGGAGAGGAGAGGAGAGGAGAGGAGGGGAGGGGAGGGGAGGGGAGGGCGAAGGCAGGGGTGGGTAAGAATGAACACATAACCCATGGCCTTCACTTGGCACCGCACCCATCTGACTTTTGAGTCGACTCAAAAGTCAGCTCGGGAGCAGGCAGGGGTGGGTAAGAATGAACACATATCCCATGGCCTTCACTTGGCACACGCATGGCCTTCACTTGGCACACGCATGGCCTTCACTTGGCACACGCATGGCCTTCACTTGGCACACGCATGGCCTTCACTTGGCACACGCATGGCCTTCACTTGGCACACGCATGGCCTTCACTTGGCACACGCATGGCCTTCACTTGGCACACGCATGGCCTTCACTTGGCACACGCATGGCCTTCACTTGGCACACGCATGGCCTTCACTTGGCACACGCATGGCCTTCACTTGGCACACGCATGGCCTTCACTTGGCACACGCATGGCCTTCACTTGGCACACGCATGGCCTTCACTTGGCACACGCATGGCCTTCACTTGGCACACGCATGGCCTTCACTTGGCACACGCATGGCCTTCACTTGGCACACGCATGGCCTTCACTTGGCACACGCATGGTCTGGATTGAACACATAGCGCCACCCTCCTGAGGACACTTAGCACTCACCTGGCACCAACAGTGAGGTAGAACGGCGAGAAGTTGGAGATGCTGCGATACATTGAAGGATTCATGGGAGGCGGGCCAGAGTTTCCTGCTGCATAAACCACCACTGTGCCGGCCAGATTCGCGTATAAATACGTCTGATCGCTGAAATACGTGGCACTGGGGTCCGCGCCGCCCAGAGAGAGCGAGATGACGTCAACCCCGTCAGCGACAGCCGCGTTGACTGCTGCCTCCACGTCAGCATACGTGGCAGTGATCCCGCCGCCTGTGACTGAGTTTCCCCAGAAGATCTTGTAGACTGAAAGGAAGGCGCGGGGTGCCATGCCGGTGGCGTTGCCGACGTTTATGTTGCGGGGAGATAGCACCACAGGCACATTGCTGTTGCCTGCTGCCGCTCTGCATTATTGAGTGGAAAGGAGGTGGGGAGAAGGAGGAAGAAGAGGGGGGACGAAGGGGGGGAGAGTCAAAAGGACACGGGGAGATAGCACCACAGGCATGTTGCTGTTGCATGCTGCCACTCTGCATTATTGAATGGGAAAGAGGGGTGGGAGAGGAGGGGTGGGAGAGGCAGGCGAAGGGGGTTAAGCAGAGGAGGGCACCACAGGTACGTTGCTGTTGCCTGCTGCCGCTCTGCATAGTGGAGGGGAGAGGAGAGGAGTGGGAGACGAGGGGAGAAGGGGAAGTGGCTCAAACGCGTTTGGTACTTCAGCCTTATGAGCTGTAGGGGGAAAGACAGAAACATGTTGGATCCTGTAGACTAAGAGGAAAGCCCGGGGTGACTCTTAAGTCGATTCAAAAGTCAGCCTTATGAGCTGAAAGGGGAAAGACAACAACATGACGGATTCTGTAGACTAAGAGGAAGGCCCGGGTTTTGAGGCGCCTCAAAAGCTGAAAGGGGATGGATCCTGAGAGCACGGTAAGAGGAAGGCCCAGGGGGCGGGGAGCCCGATCATGCCAGTGGTGGTGCCGGCATGTGCCTTTTTAGGTGGAGTCTAACAACGGAAAAGCAAGAAAGAGTGACATTCATGATGGTCTTTCAGAGGGTTGAAGTGGAAAGTGAAAGGCAAGAAATGGTGAGGCATGGGGGTATCGATCACTCACGCTGCACACCAGGTGCCTTTTTAGGCGACTCAAAAGTCGACATGGAAAGCAAGAAAGCGAGAGGCAAGGGGGTATGGATCGAACACTCACGATGCACACCAGGTGCCATGCCCGTTTGCATCCCGCGCCGACGTCCAATCAGAGGTTGTGTCTTCCTGCCCGAACCACATCCGGAACCCCGCGTTGAAAATTTTCGCGCCAATCACCTTTCTGTTGCACTTGAAATCAGCTGTCACCTGACAGGTGCCTCTCCAGGTAGATGGAGGGTTAGGGTATGGCAGGTCAGGTGGGGTAACATTTGAGGAAAATGACGGGTGTTCCGGCCAAATACCCGTGTCGACTATTCCGATCACTATGCCTTCTCCTGCCCGCTCGCGGCCCCGGGCAGTCCAGAGAGTCCCGGGCAGGTTTAGAAAGTTTGCCGAGTCGGTGGTGAGCTTGCTGATTCGGTAGTTGGATTTGACTTCGGCTACTGCTGGGTGCCGCTTCAGCTGCTGCAGCTGCTTGGGTGTCAAGCGCGCTACAAAGGCATTGCTGACGTGTTTGAATCTGAGGAGGGGGAGAAAGCGGGCAGAAAAAAAGGGGTGATGAGCTGGCAGAGGGAGAATCAGTGATGAACTGGCAGAGGGAGAAAATAGGTTTGGAAAATCAAGTGTAGTGCATCTACAGTAGCATATTAGCTTCCATTGATTGTTACAACTCACTTGTACAGTACATTCGCGCGTGGCAGGCGCACGTCATTGGCAACTCCATCTTGCAGCCGATCGAGCCACTGCTTGAACTGTGCGACTGCTGGCGCCCCCAGGTTCAGTCGCGACGATTGGCGACTCGCTCGGCGACGCCCCCTGCGAATCTGGCCGGCCACTGAATTGATGACGTCAGACACCGAGTCTCTGACAGCCTCTGCTGCCGTGGCGGCAATCCCGTTGATTCCGCCGATGTATCCCGCAATAGGCGGGGCGGCGCGGAGGCGAACGATGTACACGTCAGATACGGAGTCAGAAGGGATAACCTTGTTGAGCGGCTGGTCCAGTAACGGAATTTCCGGCGCAGTTTCAGGTGGAATTTCAGGTGTGGGCGGCTGCGTAGCTTCTGAGACGTCATTTTGCGATGGTTGCTGGGGCTCCAAGATGATCTCTGATTGGTCAGCTGCAAGAGCCGAGGCTTGGAATAAGAAAACATTACATCTGGGAAACATCATGACAGCGGCGCGAGAAATCTCTTCAATCGCATTGGATAAGCTCTCACCTTCTTGCCCGTAAACGAGGCTGCTTTTTGCGAGGATAAGCAGTGCAAGCATACAGCCCACGCTGACCCGTGACTGGGAAACGGAGCGACATCGACGAATCTTCATCGCACGCACTACTCGTTCTGAAACCTTCCGTACCAGCTCCTACGAAAGATTCTGTTTAGTCCTTCGTGAGTAGAGGTATGGTAGTGGAGATTATCCGGTCTTATCACAGGAAGGGGAGTGTACAACGAATATCCTGGACTCGGTTTAGAAGAAACGACGGACGCCAGTGAACAAAGCGTGATCGAGAATCGGAAGCCAGGTCCGAGCGCGCCGTATGCTGAAGCTGGATTAAGTTAGGGTTTCGGTAAAATCGCTTCTTATGACATCATGTGTCACATGCTTCTGTAGGACCGACTACGCAATGGCGTGAAATATCACTTGGCTCTTCGCTTGCGTCGCCGCCGATAATGATTTTCATTCCTTCCAGCAACGCGCATTCGTACTGCTACTTGACAGACGAGTCCAGACATTGACAGTACTACGATAGTAGTCAAGAAGCACGTTCCTCCGAGGCGGCGCAATCCGCCAGCGTATTTGCGAGGTTCTGCCAGCGAATGTTCTGCGCCAATCTCCAGCTACGGGCCTCTGTGGTAAACCTCCAGCCGGAAATTCTGGTGTTTGGTTGCACTAGAATTACTATTTCAGATTTCGGCAAATTTCTTCTAGGACTACAGCACACAAGTGATGGAGGCGCAGGTGAAATGCACAATCTAGTGTGGGGAAGGGGGAATACATCAGTTCTACCTTCCCCAAGCCTGCCGGCCGTGCGCACTGCACACACCCTCAAGCATCCTCACTTGCACCGCAGTCACTTGCTGCGCTTCGGCTTCGCATGGCAACTGTGGGGTGGCGAATGAGTGTCCAAGCGAAACGGTCTATTCGTGAAGCGAATTTCGTTGCAGAAATCCTAGTCGCTAGCTTAGGAATTATGTCCAGCTCGTAACCAGCTGGCTACCATTATGACAGCCACCAACAGTGGATCAAACGGTGCAGAGCAGATGCTCACCACGATTCTAGTCAATTTAGCTGTCAGAGCGCGTAACATGGTCTTCTTCGGCTGGCGCATCAGCCGTCCATCCGGAATCTTGGATTGTGTTCAAAGGCTGTCCAGCGCGTACATTTACAGCTCATCAACCCGTTCGGTTACCACATCTCGGGTTGTGACACTGCATTTTACAGAAAGTTTGGACACGATCAGCTTTTGTTCACGAGTCGGCATGACCCCTGCACTTTTTTTGGGGGGGGTTGCTAAGCAACCCTTTACGATCGACTTTGCCTAATTTTATTTTCATTTTTTTTTAAATAAAATATTAAAATTCATAAACTACAGTACCCTTCCCATACTGTGTACATGGTGAGTAGTTGTCACTACTGTTCACAGTACATCAAACCATATGATTTTTCTTTATCAGGTGTTTTGTTCAGATATGTTGTACTATTTGCATTATATGTTTTACTATTAAATGGTGTTGTAGTAATGATAAATAAATGCATGTGCATAAATAATGCTATAGGATGCATAATGTTTAATATGATATGACATGGATCATGATGCACATGCATGCGAATAATAAAATGCGTGACAGTTAACGACCCAAAAAACTAAGCTACCGCCATCCCCTGCCTAGCATGGGGGGAGAGGTCAATAGCATAGATTTTGAATAATCAACTATCACATGAAACAACACAATATGTGAATCCAAAAAAAATGGTCAACCTTATCAAATCCAGTTCAAAGTGGCAACACACGAGTCACTTTGTGCGCCAATTAACATTTTGTGAAATGATAGACCTGAGCCATCTTTTTAAAATTCACAGGCATGCATTGCTGATGCAATGATTAACATCAAAAAATACACACGCATGTACACAATGACACACATAATGACACACACACATACACACACACACACACACACACACACATACACACACACACACACACACACACACACACACACACACACACACACATACACACACACACACACACACACACACACACACACACACACACACACACACACACACACACACACACACACACACACACACACACACACACATACACACACACACACACACACACACACACACACACACACACACACACACACACACACACACACACACACACACACACACACACACACACACACACACACACACACACACACACACACACACACACACACACACACACACACACACACACACACACACACACACACACACACACACACACACACACACACACACACACACACACACACACACACACACACACACACACACACACACACACACACACACACACACACACACACACACACACACACACACACACACACACACACACACACACACACACACACACACACACACACACACACACACACACACACACACACACACACACACACACACACACACACACACACACACACACACACACACACACACACACACACACACACACACACACACACACACACACACACACACACACACACACACACACACACACACACACACACACACACACACACACACACACACACACACACACACACACACACACACACACACACACACACACACACACACACACACACACACACACACACACACACACACACACACACACACACACACACACACACACACACACACACACACACACACAGACACACACAGACACAGACACAGACACACACACACACACACACACACACACACACACACACACACACACACACACACACACACACACACACACACACACACACACACACACACACACATACACACACACACACACACACACACACACACACACAGAGACACACACAGACACAGACACAGACACACACACACACACACACACACACACACACACACACACACACACACACACACACACACACACACACACACACACACACACACACATACACACACACACACACACACACACACACACACACACACACACACACACACACACACACACACACACACACACACACACACACACACACACACACACACACACACACACGAAGACAAACTAACGATAATATAACCGTATACAAATGCACAAACAAAAAAGACAAGTAGGAAGAAATGAAAACAGAAGATGCAAAATTTATGAACAGCAATCGAAATTAAATTTCACAATCCAACATTTCTCAATCGCTTGGCTCAATCATAAGGTAGTTAATCTGGCGTACGCGCAACCTGGTGAAGAAAGAAAACAAGCATCACAAGACCATGAAAGGAACGTGTAGAAGAGATCAAGAGTGAATACGGTGAAAGAAAAACAACCGAAAGGAAGAAGCAGAGAAAACAAGAAGAATGGATTCAAAACAAGGCCTAAAACAGTACAGAGCCGCTGATGATCACCAGACTGAAGTGCCTTCGTGAATATATCAGCAGTGTTGGCCCTAGTGGCCATGTAAGCAAGACGAAGCTGACCACGCTGCTACAGCTCTCGGGAAAGGAAGTAACGCAGAGCGATGTGCTTCGTTATGTGCTCCAATCTGTGCTCCTGACACAAGGCAATCATGGCCTTGTTGTCTACGTACAGAACGGGAGAAGAACGAGGCCGCTCTCCCAAGTCGGTCAGCAGGTAGGTGAGCCAGCGTAACTCATGTGCAGCCATGGCCCCTGCGTAGATCTCGGCCTCACAACTGGAACTGAGAACCGAAGACGAGCGGGTAGACCGCCAAGAAAAAGAGCAGCAATCG